TAAAGAGACCAAAAAAAGTGAATGCATGTGTATTGAAAATGAGTTGGTGTGAATTGCTGGAGCCTAAGAGTCTAAGCTGTCAGCAAGCATAAAGCAACTTCCATCTACAAGCGATTAAAGCATAATACCGAACATATGGTTGACTGACTCTATGGTTGTATAAGAGAATAAAAAAAAAAATATATATATATAAATAAATAAATATATAATAATAATAATAAGAGTGAAGGAGAAGATGCAAGCGGGAATATATTATGAGCATCTATCTCTTGTGCAGCTTGTGGTTTTTTAAGTTAATCGGCGATGCATACAAGCAAGGCTAGATGCGTGTGGGCTTTGCAAGTTATAAGAAAAAACTCTTAAGAGTTTTGATCTCATAAAAATGATTTTGATGGCAATGACATGCTAACAGCAACAACAACTAGACCAGACATTAGAAGAAACTTAAGACACATAAAAGTGCAAAAGCCGCCATCTACACAACCCATTCATAATATATATATATATATATATATATATGTATATAAATGTATGTATAGAAACCATTTGCAACCTAAAAACGTCGACGTCTAAATGTAAAACGCCTACTGCTTAAAAAAGAAAAAAAAAAACGCATTGAAAAGTTTAAAAGGCGAAGGAAAAACGAGCCTTACATTGTTTTCATATGCATATTTTTTACACCGAGGTCTGCGTTAAACGAGTAGCTTTAGTTTATTGCGTTATTTCATTTGGCATTTTCCTAGTTTGCTGTTTTTGACACTCAAGTGATGAAAGTGTCTTGTTTTGCCTGTTGCTGTTACACTTTGTCGGCAATAATTAAAAACATACATATATCGTTGTAAAGCCACACACATCGATTTGCAATGAGCGGAAACTGCACTACACACACAACAGAAAGACCATTAAAATGCGACACCAGACAGAACAATTGAAAGAAGTGAAAGGCGTTACAAATTAATAACACATTTTTAACACTAGGGACAAAAAAGAAGAAAATTCGTTACACTTGCTTAAAAGAAGAAAACAAAAAGGAAGAAGATAAATAGAATACACCCTAAAGAATCTAATATACCGTTAATTCAATTCTCGGCACATAGTTATGAGAAAAATAAAAATAAAACTTCCCTACCATTTAACTTATGCCGAATAAATTAATACCTTACTCTGGACAAATTTGCGTAGTCGCTTCACGGGGTGCAGAATTTACAAAGATTTCCCTACATAGGTAATCACGCAATCAAGTCTATTATATGTTGTGCAATGAGTTTGATAACCGAAATCCGAGCAAAATCACGGTCATCATACGTCTTGCGTTATGAGATATAATCACAAGTTTAGACACTTCTTGATTTCGAAAAAATCATACACTTATGATCGTCTTTTTGTTTTTTTGTTCTTATTTACGAAGAAAATTGAAGGAAAGTTTTAGAACCAATTTCTACTTGGGATTATAACACCTCTTAGGTGAACCTTTTGTAACTTTTTGTGTTGAACTACGCATGCGTGAAATGGTATACTAATTGTTACATTAAAATAATGTATTAAAAATTTTTTTCGCTTTTTCTGAGATTCTCATAAGCTCGCAGCCCTGTTTAACGGAAACTAACTACGAATATTGCTTTCGAATATAAAATTTCCAGCCATATTGCTCAAGAGAGAAGAACGATTTTTGTTATCTCCAACTGTATGCCTAAGTGTTGGTTTGCTGAAAAATCGCTAAAAGGTGAAAAGAACGAGTTTACCATTCTTTGGCAGAAATAGACAGCCAATGACGTGTCAGTGATTGTACTGAAAATGGATGATGGTAAGAAGGTGAGAAAAACAATTTCGGATTGAATCCTTCCTTTTTTACTTGCAGTATCACTGATGAAACAAAATTCGACAAGTAACGCAGGCAAAATAGTGGAAACTAAAACTTAAACAGCTAAGTGCGTCGGTCGTTGCAGCGATTAGTTCATATATTCGTCAAACACAAAGTGTGTATTATGAAATTATAATCAATAAATTGTAATCAAACGACTTGACAAAATGACAAACATATTGTCTAAAATACCTTATTATGGAAAATTCAGAATGATAACGAAATATAAGATCGGATAGAGCTTTCATGACGGATACATTTGTCGGAGACAGTTAACTGGTTAAGTTAGTACATGTATAAGCGTTCGTATCGGATCTAAAAGGTGTCGGACAAAACCTTAAATTTTCTCATCGACCAATCTTTTATTATGCCCGTCAGTTCAGAATAATGTTCTAAATTGACCTAAATTTTTTTGTGTGATGTCTCTTTACCAATTTTCGTGTCCAAAAAGAAGGCAAGTTCCAATCTCCGAAATCTTCTAACGAAGGATTAAATTCCCGTCGCTAAGCTGAAGTAACGAGTATCAAGTTGGGTCCCGTTATTTTATAGGCTTAATTTTCTTAAAGTAGTTCAAGCTATGTTGATAAGCCGTAGATAAATATTTGATAATTGAAGACTTCACTGCCCAAACCGGTTAACTCCGTTTTATTAAATCTTAATATCAAAGCACTTAACTGTCTATATCCAAAACGAATTTCTCTAGTAACAAGTATCAGCACCACTTAACGATAACATTCTTTTGACCATTAAATAATTAATTTAAAAATAATAATAAAAATCTAGTTAAACCACTGCCCTCTCTTCCTCTGCTACGGAGTATGCGAAAGTTGTTTTTTCAATTTCATCGTCTGAGTTAATCGAGAACTGTTATCGCTCACACAAGCCAAGTGCAAGAAATATAGATTATAAATCAGAAAACGTACGAAGACGACATTGCACAATGTGCAGAAAAAAATATAAACCCAGTGGAAAAAAAATACCATTACAAGGTATTTTCGATTGACTTTAATTTGCATTTCAAGGAACCGTCCGAAAATGCATTCAATGCTTGGGACTCTCTATAAATAAAAATTGTGTCTTCGGATAGTGAGAGAATGAGGACGGCAAAATTCGAAAAGGACGCTCGCTTGCAGAGGGTTGGACAGGCTCGTATTCATATGGCTGCAGATCGGAACGGAGCATCCGAAGAAATCTTTGTATTTTCTTTTGACTTTGAAAAAGCTTTACTCTTTCCAAAATTCGCTATATCGGCAGCTTACTGTAAGTGAGATCTATATGTTTACAATTTCGGATACCACGATCTTAATAAAAACATAACTCGCAGTAAATTGCTTGAAAACGCATTGCATGAAATCAGAAAAGTCGAAATCTCACCTCTTATGTGTTGGATGAAGACACAAAATTTAATGCCGTCAATACAAGAATATGTGTAGTGGTTGTCTTGCCCTTTATTGCATCCAACAGGCTGAACTGCGACAAGGGAAGGGAGGAGGATAGGTACGATGGACTTATTCCTCTTAAACACGAGTATTGTAAAACTTTAAGCACAAATTCACATGACGGTAGCGCAAATAAGCAGCTAAGGAAGAAGCCATCACTTGTACCGATGAAGACATCGTTTATGTTGATGACAAATTAATTTAAATAAAGCAATACTCGTTATATTATGTGCCAGCAACAAAATTGTTATTAATCGTGTCATTTCTAAAACCTTTTCAATTAAGTGCTTGCGTAATAAAAAAATTATTCGAAGACTGAATTTGAATTAATAATTTTCTGTCACTTGGCAAAGCGATTAACTCCAATAATCCCGAAAAATTATAGTAACGGTTGCGCTACCCGTATTCCATATAATACTTTCCATGTGTTATCAGATAAAGTATGCATATGCAGTAACACAGTACTTGTCGTCTTATGGACTTAATCGATTTGGCAAGTGAGGCTTAGTTAAAAATAAAAAAGAAAAAATCCACCCAAGAACTTTCCAAAAATGATTATGGATTAATAACATTTTCCACTTCAAAAGGACGTTAGTTCGAAACTTGGTATGAAAACACCCTTCTTTATATGTGAACGATTTAGAAAATGTTATTTCCCTTATTCTTGCTTCCTATGTTTTAAATATGAATAAAAAATTGATTTGTTTCACTACTTGGGTGAATACGGTCGATTGTGGTAACTTTAATTTACGAATTCGTGTGATAGGTAAGTCGCGCAACATAATTTTTACCCATTTTGGATATCACAACTTGGCTTCAAAAACTTGTGGACTCTCTTGTTCGACGAAAGTAATGCGTCGTATAGATAACTTAGATAACAGTTTCTAGTTCATCTTATTGCAATAGATTAGTACATTTCAAATTCCGTCTGAATCATCAATCGTTTGCGCTTTCAGTCGGTATATAACATAAAAGTAACATATGAAAAAATTATGGCAATGTTAATGGCATTAAATAAATATATACAAGCGGTAGTAAATTTTGCAATTAATTTTTTTGAGATTAATACAAGATTAAGATTAAGATTAATGCTATCTAATCGAAGTATTAGAACAAAATAAATCGACAGTCAGTAGCAAAATAGTCGCAAATTTTTCATACAAAGATTTTATACACGTTTGTGTTTACTGAAATGTGAAGAATAATAACAAATTTTATAGTAATTATAAAAAATTAAGTGACGAATCGAGTTATCACAACATAGATCGAAGCCTATGCAGAAATGACCTCGTGAGACACGAATGAAATTTAGTGGAAAAGAGCGCATTTATCTGTTTTAAGGTATGCAATGGATTGAGTGTTAAAATTATATCTTAGTTTATCTCTCTTAGCGTCTCCCTCTGTCTCTCTCTCTACTCTTTTTCCCCCTGTTTACAATTTTCTTCATTGAGCACTGGCACGCTTAAATTTTTCGCTGACTAGAGCCATCCAAATCTTTGTCTCTGCCTATGTGATTTCATTTATAGAAAAATGTTTGCATTTTATTTATTTTGAACTGTATACTCATCTGCGTATTCTTATACAGATAAAACTGCGACAACAATAAATTAATTGACTCATAATCACTCGAAGCACAATCGAAGAGTTAATTTTTCATAAGCGTTTAATATAACAAACATTCGCACTAAAAGCAAATAATCACGCAAAATGATCGATATATAAAATAGAACATTTTAGTACAAATTGTGCCTCCGTGCCTTGTAGAGAACCATCAGAGATAAAAAAAAAAAAACAATTTATATTATATTTCTGCAGAGAACTGGCGATCGCTCTACCGCAGTACATCAGGTATTTATTAAATTTTATTACGTCGATTATAACTGCTCATTAGTGTAGCTTTCAACAAAGCTAATAAGAACAAGTAAGAAAATTATATTCAATTGTAAACGAATCTTTTATAGCCCGTCACAGTGCTCCTAAAAAAAGGAGAATATTAAATTGTCACGCTCTATAATATTGGGTGGATGCGGACGATTTCTTCTATTTATAGATTAAATGTGAAAACTTATATGGTGTGCGTATTGTACAGTATGAGTAACAAGTGAGAAACGCGGAAAGCAAGAGTTTTGTAGCATAGGTGTGCGCTTTGAGAAATTATGGTAATTTTTAAATTCCTTTGCAAGTTCCTAAACGGTATCTTCATTTTTGCGATCAGGAGAATGTGTACAGCAGACATTGCACAGATGGACGTCTGTCCGTGGGTATGCTTAAATCGATTTGGAATTTGATGCTGATACTTTGAACCTTCCCTCCGGGCATTGCAAACGTTTTGAGAAAACGAATATGTCCCTCAGCCAACTTGCGTACAATGTGTCGTTCCAGGAATGACCATGGATCCACTTCTTAGTTACATAACCTTCAAATCACATTTTTGAACGACTTGGGAGCACTTTTCAAATAATTGTATAAACTTGAGAAAAGAGCCCAGCCAAACAACTGGTCGCATTTTGCTGCGAAATTTTAATTTGGTACCGAGTCTTTTTAAAGAAATACTCAAGACTGAGCTTCACGTTGTATGCCCAAACTTCTGTTGTTTTAAAATCAAAAGCATGATTTTGTTATAGTACAGGCCACTTCTCAGCGATTAATTTGGGGATTTTCGAATTTAAACAGACTACAGTGAGAAGTGCCAATTGCGATTAAGGTGGTTTTCCTAGGCAATACTTGTAGGCCAACATTGTGGCTTCAGTACACGAGCACGCGTTATTAACTTAATATCGCATTTCACATTTGTTGAGATCATATATAAATTTTATTGATAATCCGTTTGCTTTACAAAAAATTCGAAATTCTAATCTGTTGCTGGTAGTGGACCATGTATTGACACATTTTTAAACCCATCGCCATAGAAAGCTTCAGAGACCCCACAAAGTGTACATATTTTTGATCCGGTCTGGTCAAATTCAGAGTGGAGTTACGCATGTATGTCTGTCTGTCTGCGTAATTTCTGTTTTAAACATTCTACTCGCCACAGAAGTCAGTCTATCGATTTTAAATATGGCAAATATATTGGAAGTTTTCAGACGCAGGTTATTTTTAAAATGGGCTAACTCATTCTAAGGGCACGCCTACAGTACTACGTAAAGTGAAGACTCTTCTCTTTTCCAAAAGGAATAAAAAATTGATTGATTTTTTGATTGTTACTCATAAACCATAGCGTATAAACTTGCAAAAGTTTAAAGGTACATCGCCTTTGCAGAAGAATTTGGAAGTAATCCAAACTTCTCAAAGGACACGCCTAGAACGTCTACACGCCTATGCGACAAAAACTTTTATTATGGAGAATGAAAAGTTAGTTTTTTAACTTCATTCGACTTCTCTCGGATAACGGTGATGAATATGAAAGATTCGGTCATGACCAAATACAATTTTCTTACTAGCGAAGATGTCAATCTACTGTAACATTACAACTACGCATCTCTATCAATATTCCCCAATTTGTCATGCTCGCACAGGTGAAGATGATGAGTTGAAATTTAAGAGCACCATTTTTTGATTAGCTAAGAGTTCAAAGTGTAAACGATTGTGGCGATCGTTCCACAAAGACGCACCCACAAGAAATTGGAAAGTGAGGCAGCGTCGAAAAATACCGACAATTTTTGTATATTTTTGATCTCCTGGATATATTTCGGGAAATATGCTAATTCAGGAAATCTGCTAATTAAAAGTTCATCAAAACCGCCTGCAGTTTCGATTCGTAACTGGTCTCGATCCGTTGACTAGCGCGGCCACAATTAATCTAAAATGTATTTTCAATTTATTTGCAATCGAGTGAAGAACATAGAAATTTGTGTTGGAGTAAATTGGACTTCATTTGGAAAGAAATTGGGATTAGGATTTTATTTATTTCTTTTTGTGGTTATGTTATATATATATATACATATTTATCTACCTAGCTGGTCACTTGAAATATCTTCATGGCCTCGAAATTTGTAGATGAAAATATAAGAAAACGACGGGTGTTTTCCGAGCGATGGTTCAGTTTCTTCTATATATTGTGGACATGTGACGTGGACAGAGCACTCATATTTTTTGACTTTAAATTTCTAATAGGCCCAAGTGTCAGCTTCTGGATAGGTTTTGCTTTCTTTCTTGCCAATGCAACAATTTCACAAATACTACGCGTGCAATTGATCCAGTTTGGCAAAAATAGCTGCATGCCATCGGTATCGCGGTTGGCAGGTTCTTTTTTTCTAAATAAAAATCAACGAAAAACTTTTTAACTTTACAGGCTTTACACACGTTTTTTGAAGGTCAGTAGTTAAAAAAGGTCTAACTGACTACCGTGGCAGGTCGTTGGAACTCTCACTGTTTAATCTCAGCAATAGTTGAAGAGATTGAATTTAAACAAAAAATTCGTCACATTATATTTACTTCGGAGGGTATTTTCTATTTTTTGCCTTACGATGCATGGATTTTTATGTCAAGAAATAATGCAGCGCTTGACTTTCTAAAATTTAGCATATGTAGAATTCTTACGCAGAGTTTCGTAAACATGGATAATACTATAAAAAGTTTATTTTTTATTTTATTTATCATCTGTCGCACTTTTGCGCTATCGGGCAGCATTGACCCTGAAAGGCAAAGGCAATGAAACATTACTTGAGGACAGCTCCTAGACTTTTGCAAAATCCACTTAGTTCGATCTAAGGTCATTAGAATCGTAACGAATTCAAACGGTTGTAATAAGGTAACGTCAACAATTATAATGAAGCGTGTTTGTTAATAAACTGCACTTCCAGCATCATACTATATTTGAATTGCCAAATCTTGCATATTTGGTGAGGTGAACGAAGTAAATGTGTTCGTGAAAATCGATTACTTCTTCCAGCAAAACCTAATTAGACCATTGAAAATCAGACAAAGAATAAGACAATAATAGTTCACAAATAGGAGAATAGTTATGCAAATGATTGCACGTAATTGCTTAAATAGATGCTTTCGCATTAATGAAGACAATGAAGACCAAATACAAATGTTGTATTCGAGAAAGCCCATCATTGAACACGTTACACTAGTTCACCATTTTATAATCTAACGTTTAACAATTATCATAAATTTCAGCCCGATATGAAGGGTTGTTTATTTGAAGATATCCGTCCGATAGCCGCATTACAATTTAAAGGTCCTGCAGCTTCGTTGCACTTTATTGTCACATGAAGGTTTGCTGTTCATGAGTAAACTTATAATGAAAGTTTGATACGTGAACTTTGAAAATGAAACCTATTACTAGTCTGAAGCAGCTTTGAGCCTTTGTTAAGACAAAATAAATTAGTATGTTTCAGAGCTTTACTTAAAAAGGTTTTCTAAAAATGGCTCTTCTTTCTATGCCCAATTTCAGCATTTTCTTAGAACTTAGAAGATATTGTTCTTCACTGATATTGTATCGTTGAAAGAGATTCAAAATGACAAATTTTCGTTATATGCTTTTCTCTTCAAATTAAGGCGCTCGTTCACGTAAGATAGAGAGTGTATGGGTTTGAGGATCCAAGATTGGCGTATCCAGTAAAATCGCAGTCGAAAAGGGATCATACGTAGTACAGGGTATAGAATCAACTTTGGCATAAAATCAGCTTTATTTTAAGTATAAGAACCAAGTTGGTTGTGTTATGCTGTTAATGGGTCACAAATTTATATAATCAAGGTGATTCGTTTAAAAACGCGTAAGACATCGTGCTATATAGGGATCTACTGCATATGGTCTTAAAAATGAATAGATCGAACGTAATCTGCGTGAACTGGTTGAGCACAAAGTACTTGGACGGACATCAAACGAACACAACGAGTGAAATGATTTTGATACGCTTGATCTAATGAAAAGTGAGTCCTTCTGAGATTCCATATATCCGCAAGAAATTTAATGTAGTACTTACTAAAGACGATGTAGGCTACATTGGAGAGATACCCGAGCGTTAGAGAGTGAGTGTGTACTTAAAGGAAAAATGGTGAATTACGAAATCAACATTAATCCAATTAAAACAATGTACACATACACATTTATATCGTATATATGGATGGACGTACGTAAACATGTACGAGCTAATAAAATATAGGGCCTTACGCTTGTATCTACATGTGTGTCTGAAACAAAAGCTACGGAAATTTGTGGCAAATCTTTAGTATCCGTAACGGATGAAAGATATGAATTGTTACTGTTATTGTTGTTTGGAAGCAATTCATAGAATGCAGTGACACACATTTTCTCTAAACGCAGCATTAACAACAATAACAGAAAAGAAAATTGATTAGAACAATTTCGAGAGCACTGAAGAGAGTGATGTTGATGATAAATATATTTGCGAAAGGAAATTATTTTATCGCAGAGATAAATATTTACACTTTCTCGCATCTACCGTAACGTTGCATTGCCATTCTTAAATACACACATATAAGAAGGGAGAGGCCATAATTGCATAGTAGTGAGACCCAGTAGTTATGTGAACTATTTTTCTGTCAAGAAACATCGATAGAAGTAGAAAATGAAATACGATTTTGATTTTTATAGGATTCATGCCGAGGAAAAAGAACTGCACTCTTTAAAGGATTAACCATGTTTTGCTTCACTTGCAATACATGTTTAATACTAAGGAGAAAGAAAAGAATCTCCTACTCCTTGTCCTGAATGGAGAAATTCATCGCAGATCTACTATGATAATATCTTTGAATATTACTTTAAGCTTAATGAAGGGGAGAAACAGTTGCGGCCTGAGTAGGATTAATATCTTTCTTTACTAATTCTTTTGGAATGCAACGAAGGGCAACGAAATAATAAAATGCGAGAAAATCGC